GCTGGTTGTCTCCAAGTACTTCGATTCCCATGCCAATCATTCCACTGGCTGCTCCACATTTATCACCATCTAGAATCTGGGACTGGTACAGTAGGCCAATTAGTGGCCAACATACCAAGTGGACTCAGTCTCACCCCACCCCAAAAAACTAAAAAACAAGAACTTAGTTGAGTGTTGTCGACAACTAGGAGATGCCCCGACCCTCATCTTCTTCAAGACTCAGATCACCACTATGAAACATCTTGAACAGAAATTGAACTGTGCGCCTGTTATCTGTTTCCTCACTTACTTACTTGAGATTTTGTACAGTTTACCCTGTGCACTGTCCAAGTTTAAACTCATACAAGTAAATTACATGAATTTCTTCCCCCCCCCCCCCTTCTAGTAGTCTAAATGGAAGAAAAGTGAATGACAGAGTAAAACCAGATATCACTGTTAAATAGAAAAAAAGTTTTAGTATATTTAGCTGTTACTAGAAGCAAATATAATAGAGCCGTTACTGGTTAATGCTCACAAACAAACACATCTCCACAGCAAAAGATCAACATGCAACAATAGAAAAATTGTTGAAAACGGGTTTTCTACAGTGGTGCATGCTGAGGAGTTGTAAGTGGGTTCAAGTGAAAACTGAGTTCAGTTGAGAGCAGAGGGATATTCGCCAGATAGTAAGTATGTAAGCTGCCAGTGTTAACGTCTCTTACCAGGAAATGTCTAGCGAAGACTTCGTGTGTGCTGTAGTTAAAATAATATTTGGAGTGTGTAACTCAGTGCGACCATTACAGTTACATATTAGTTAATGATTTGCAAGTGGTCAATAAATCCAATTATCCAAAACCACGCCAAGAATCACTCATGCATGTGAAAATGTAATATAGACCCAGTTCAGTAACCATTTATTTTGCAGAAAGCTTCAGACTTTCAAGCAACGAAACCTAAATTTATTTGCACTAATCCAGGGGCGTAGGGTACATGGATGTGGTGGAAGCATTGCTTCCCTATAGAAAAGCAACCAAGAACATTTCTGGCAATTTTTCAATTTCGAAAAAATATTTCATACTTCAAAATATTAATTAATCTGAGAACATATATTACATATAATGAGAATATTGCAAGTTTTAATGTGTTAAATAAACAATTTATCAGGATAGATCAGTTATTTTCTTCAAAAATGCAGGGTACTTCAAATTGCAACACGCGCGGAAGCAGCAGGTCTTTCGCTTCCACCCTCCCCTGTGTTAACTGGCTGACCAATGTCAATATTGTCTCTAAGTGAGCTATCCGTTATGGTATGCTACTAGCTTCGTGCTTCCAGCAATGTTGCCAGATGTAAGGCATTGCAGTTCGCAGTAGAGTGCAGTAGAATAGTCTGTGACCTGGCAGTTAAGCGTGTGTATTAGTTTTCAGAAGGTGTTAGCGTCTCATTTATGCACAAGTCAGTTTAGTTATTATTCTGTATTTTTCTCGATACAGAATTTGTTTTGCTTTGCGTAATTATAACTTTATGACCAGTGTTTTTGTGATTGCTGTTAAGTTAAAAATAGAAACATGACACTTTCATGTGATAACCACTGTGTGATTGAAAAACTTCTTCAAACACCGTTCAGTTCACTCAGTTATAATGAGAAACTTAAGATAATAGAAGAAGGTGCACCTAAGCCTAATCTAACTTTACATACAAAAGTGAAATCTTGCACACGGCATTTCAATACCAGTTTATATGAGGCTATTCCATGGTTGTGTGGGTGTGATAAACTAAACAAATTATTCTGTTGGCCTTGTCTCTTGTTTTCTAAAGAAAAACACGTGTTTAACAGTGCTGGTTACAATGACATTAACAACATTTACAAATCTGGCAAACGACATGGGCATTCAGTTAATCACATTGCTTGTCTTAAAGAAATTACACTGTTTGGTAAAAACAGAAGGATTGAATTTTCTCTAAGCAGCCAATACAAACAGTCAATTGAAAAACACAATGAAGCTGTGAAACAGAACAGGAAATTTGTAGGCCAATTAATTACAGCAGTTTGTTTTCTGGGCTCTCAGGGTTTAGCATTTCGGGGACATGATGAAAGCGTGGCATCTGTTAATAGAGGAAATTACATTGAGGTTTTAAATATGCTGGCACGTTATGATTCTGATTTACACAATCATTTAGAGTCTTCAACTGCTTTCCGTGGTTCTTCTCCTGACATCCAAAATGAACTGATACATTCTGTATCTGAATTGATGACAATGGAAATTAAAAAGGAAATTTCAAAGGCTAATTATGTTTCTTTAATTCTTGATGAGACTTCAGATGTGATGAATAAGTGTCAGTTGGCTTCAGTTCTTCGATATGTGACAGCTGATGGCAATGTTGAAGAAAGGTTTCTGCGTTTTACAGACGTGAGCTCTGACCGTTCTGCCAATTCCTTGTTTAACCATGCTCTTGAGATTTTAAATGATTTTGAATGTGGTCCCAAACTCATTGCACAGACTTATGATGGTGCTGCTGTTATGGCATCACAACATGCAGGAGTACAAGCAAAAATTCGCGAGCAGTACCCAAACGCCATTTTTATTCATTGTTATGCGCATAGACTAAATTTAGTCTTAGCACAATCTGCTAGTTTTATTAAGGAAGTTAAGGTCTTCTTTGCTACTCTCTCTGGCTTTAGAACTTTTTTTGCCAAGTCCACAAAAAGGACTGAAGCATTGGATTCCCACCTTAGGAAAAGATTTCCTTCTATCGCACCTACTCGATGGCAGTACCATAGCCGACTTGCTGAAACTGTGCATGAATACAGAGAAGGAATTGAGAATCTTCTTGTGTCTATAATAGAGGAACCAGAAGAATGGGATGTAGAAACAATTTCTTCTGCACGCGGACTTCTCTCTCTTCTAAGGGATTTCGATTTCAATTTCATGCTGAAAATATTTTCTTCAATTTTTCCATATTCTGGCGCTCTTTTCAAAATCCTACAAACTAAGAGATCTGATATAGCTTTTTGCAATACCAAAATAGACGAATTTAAGCATCACATGCAAAGATTAAGGGGAGGATTTGACCACCTTTGGAGTGAAATGGAAAATGTCTTCGATTCAAATGGCCCAACTCGACCCAAAAGAATTCGCATTGACTCAATGAGTGGAGAAGAAAGAAAAAACTCCTATAAACGGCTGTTCTGTGAAATTATTGATGTCGTGTGTCAGAATGTCTCTGTTAGATTTTCGGAGAACGCTACGCTCCTCTTCTTGAGTCTTCTTGATGCCAGATACTTTCCCATGTATAGAACCTCATTTCCTGAAAAAGCATTTTCCTGTTTAAAAGAAAATTATGGTGCATTTTTTGACTTTGTTGCCTTAAAGAGTGAACTTTTAGTAATGTTTTCGGACCCAGATATGGCAAAAGATAGTGTGTATGACTTACATCAATATATGTATGCTCTTCAGTTATCATGCGTTTTCCCGCAAATCTTCAAATTATGTGAGCTAGTATTAACAATACCAGCGACAAGTGCTGCAGATGAACGCTCATTTTCAGCTCTGAAGAGATTAAAAAACTACTTAAGAAATTCGCAGAACCAGGATAGGTTGTCATCACTGGCTTTGATGAACATTGAAAAGTCCTTCCTAAACAAACTGCAGTCCAAACCCAGCTTTCTAGATGAGGTTATTGATCTGTTTGCCAAGAAAAACAGAAGAATCGAGCTGAATTATAAACAATAAAGTAAGCATTAATTATATTCCAGGTTCACAACCCTGTCATTTGATGGCTATAAAATTGTGTTGATAATTATGTGTTATTTTAATATATTAGCTTAAATATACAATACATATTAAACTATTAGCTGTTTTCTTTTAAATAGAAGATAGAAACTATAGGGTTTGTAGAAAAAATTTATATGCACGTATATAAAGTTGCTTCCCTGCTTTCGGTATTCATGCTACGCCACTGCACTAATCCAACCACGTAACTTGGCCTGCAAGTGAACTCCAATTATTCAACTTAAATTTCTTTTATCAGTATTAAACTGATGTTTCACAACATCTAGAGATCACCCAGAGGCATGAAATGATGCTGCTTAAAATTATAAGATGTCAAAACTTCATTGAAATGAATAAAACAAAGTACAATAGTCAGTTTATTACTCAAATATTAGTAACCTCTTCCCTTAGCCTACTTGCTGTGTTTTACAAAGAAAGAAAGAAAGACTAATTATGTTGTGACAGGTTGCTCAAAACATCGAAATATGGAACCAGAAAATTCCATACAATGCTGTCAACAAAGAACTTCGGTTACTTAATAGTTAAGATGTCAGTAATCATGACAACATAGGAACTATTTTGAAGACGTCTCCTAGGCAATGGATACAGAAACGAGCAATTATATTCAGAGACACGAAAAGAGAACCTTCAAGGAGGTGATCTCCATACAGTTTCACCAGAACCTACCTCAGGGAGAGAGTTGATCAAAAGAAGATAAAATACGACAGAAAATTACAGAAGGATAAAAAAGAGAGGGCTGTAGGCTAGTACAAGATCCAGACAACAGTGAGAGATTCTTTATCCAGAAGGAGTCAAATGTGTGAACTGTTGTAATAAAGTGAAAATGTAATAGAGACGCCTAATAAATCCAATCAATCAAATATAAAACTCACAATATCAGTCATGTGTACAACTAGTGTGTTGAATGCTTTTAAACTGCGCTGAAGAGATCTGTCTTATAGGATATAATGCCATGTAGCATGTTGAAAGTCGTCTGAAACGTCAGTTGACTTTCAATGGGCTGTAGAGTGTTTTATCTCAGAAGTGATCCATTAGTGTGAGAACCTGAAATCCTACTTAAACTGCATTATTTCAACTTTTATGATTTTAATTAATATTGTATATGGTGGTTCCTAAACTTGTTTAACATTGATGTTTAATTGGTGTGGATTAAAAGAAGTTCAGCTTGTCATTGCAGAGTGAAACCCCAAAACTTGTTAATTGTTGATATATGCCTGTGTGTTCTATAGGAAGTTTTGAATGCCTTTCTGAGGAAATTCTGCTACCAGAGAGAGTCAGCAGGCTCAGTACATGTGAAACTGAAGCAGATGCTATGGCAGCTGACATCATCAACAGGACTGCAGTTTCAGGTATTTATTATAGTAACTCAATCATGCCATAGAATGTACATCTACATCTGGGTATTATACAATCAAGGGGGGCCCATTGCAGATTAACTCTTTGACTGGCGCGGGCGTGTTTTAACGCCCGGACGATGCCAACCGTTCCCTGGCGTTGGCGTGTTTTAACGCTTTGACAATCTCTTCCCTTCTTTGCTCTCTTGGCACTCATCAACCAAAGACATATATATGATAGTTTTTGTGCATGTTTGTAAAGAACCCTTGTAAACTTTGTGGGGGTCTATATTACTGTCAGAACCCTCTGAGAAGGAAAAGGTCAGAAAATATTTCACATTCATTCAGTTTCACCATGGCTTCTTGCAGCAAGTGTCTTCGTGTTCCTACAGACCAGCTGGAAAATGTTGTGAACGAGATTTGTTCTGATGATGATAGTGGCGATGAAATAATGATTCCTGAATTGGATGAAGTTGATAGTGACAATAATACAGTGATAGACAATGATCCACAAGACTGTAATCATGAACATTTACCTACCACGAGTGCGGTGCCTGACACGCCCATCTCATGAACGTACGGAGACATTGTACCCCCAATATTTCCATTTGCTAATAGTTTCGGGATCAAAATTGATATAACACATAAAATGCATCCCTTTTCATGGATTAAAATTTTTTCTGGATGACGACTTGGTAAATCACATCACAACTGAAACCAATCGCTATGCTCACCAGCACTTCAACACACATGAGTTAGCTCCTCACTCTCGAAAACACAATTACAATTATGTCACATCAGATGAAATCTGGACATACTTAGGAATTGTGTTCATGACAGGAATCGACAAACGCCCTGAAATTGAAGAATATTTGTCCACTAGGCCCCTATTTCACACCCGTGGTATGGAGAAAACATGTCTTTGCGGTTGAATAGTTTCATTCTATTCAAAAAGAACACAACAAACGAAAAATACAAGAACAGAGATTACAGATTCAAAGATTTTATATTGGACTGTGTAGAAAAATGACTGAACCAAACAAACAGTGTGGAGAGGGAGAAGAGTCAAGGAATGAAGTGGATGACGAATCTATTGCGTCAGACTCGAGTGCAGTCACGCCTCCGCCCTCGACCTTGAAAAGACCACCAGTGAAAGAGCCAGTAAATCGTCTAGAGGGTGGCTTGAAAATTCACAAAATGGTCCATGTTCCTCCCAGTAACAAGAAGAATGGTGCCCTGAGAAAGTGTCGTGTGAGTGCTAAGCACAAGATTAGAAAAGAAACAAGTATCATGTGTGCAGGCTGTGGTGTGGCTCTCTGCAAACTTTCATGTTTCAATGTTTATCACACGAAGAAAAACTAATAAATAGGTATGGAAAGGCATTTATTGCATAAAATATTGTATTTTAATTAGTTCCTGAAAATTTCGTTTATAAAAATCAATTTTTGTTGAAGTTGTTTAGGAAAAAGTAACTACATGCATTTTGTCGACATAAGGTTTAAAGGGCCTGCCAGGACAGGGGTGGGATTTAAATACCCTTCGTGCCAGTCAAAGAGTTAAGTGTAATTTTTGACAGCACTGGCATGACTTCAACATATTGTTTGTGATAAGGCATGTCTGCAAATTATGTTGTCAGCACAGATAACACATCATAATAGATTTTCTCTTTTTATAGTGTGTACAGAATGAACTTCTTTGTGAAGATCCATTAATTCCTCTTGTCAAGTTAAGGCTACCATCTAGAAATCTTGCAGTTTCTATAAAGTGCTTGAAAATACTAGAAGCAATCAGCATTCCCCTTCTAAAGTTTTCAAGAAGCATAATTGAGTCTTTCACCATAACCTCATTTTCATCATTGTCACTTGAAGAGTTGATCATATTGTGACATGCTGGTCAACGGAGAACCCCCCCCCCCACCAGCAGTGACGCGGCAGGTGAGTCAGTGCTCCGCCATCCCCCCTCCGCACGGTAACATAATGTGCAAAGCACGATGACGTAAGACGGCGTGAGGTAACAGCGTTGCTACGTAACAGGCCCACACAGCCCCTATATAAAAGAGCTACGCTGCCTGCAAAGTTGTTGAAATGTGGCCATCGCCGAGTTCAGTAGTAGTCGAGCCAGTGTGTTATCAACAGTTCTCAAGGCAGCAGCCTGCGAGTCGAGTTGAAATATAGCAGCCATCGTGGAAAGAAGTACCGGACGTGTGTGTGAATGAGAATTAATTGGGAGTGTGTAACAGAGGGACACTTGTATAGCTCCCGTACTGTGAGTAGTCTACTGACAATAGCGTGATCTGATTTGCGGATAGGGTTATAAAGTGTGAAACCCCACAATATTGTTATAATTAATTGTAGCCGAGATTTGTAGGTTGTTAAATAAACCAACTAACGATCTCTACATCGTATTCAGTAATGAAACATGTTACAATATTTTCAAGGCTTTCTTCATAGAGCATGGAGCCTTTTTGCACTTATGTTGACAGTATTAAATTGCATTTTCTTACTTACTGAGTTACTGTGAATGTTGGAATGGGTCTTCACATGTTTGTAGGTACCCATCTGCATGTTTCATCTTGTTTACAAAGACTTTCCGGTTAAATCTGGGGGATGCATTTAGTAGGATCTGTAAGTGGTACCTCAAGTTCAAAAAGACTTTGTGGATTGTTTTTGTACAGAGTGGGGTAAGGAAACAGGTGATTGTAAAAACTGGTTTTGTCTGTACCGATGTAGTGGTGGGAGATTACTTTACTCAACGTCCTCTTGTCCACATCATGCCATGTAGTAACAGTGGAATAGTGGAGTGGTGTACAGTGTTCTTTCGCTATCAAGCTGTTTTATGAAATTGGCTTTAGTCTAAAGGCCATTCAACATCTATTTTGTGTTCACTATAATCTTCAGCATTTTGATCCTATACCTTCTGCTGATGCCATTAAAACATGGATGTGGGTATATAATTTTGAAGAAAGTGATTCTTCTCTCAAAAGAAGCTTCCAGGTGGAATTAGAAGCATCCATAAACCAGAAAACATCACAGCTCTCAGGACCACTCTCATATGTAGCTTACAGAATTCTGCACATTGAAATGCATTGTCATTGAACTTACCCAGTAGGAGTGTAGGGAGAATACTGCACCAGGACATAAATTTCCAGCCTTACAAGGTACAGGTAGTGTAAAAAATTAAAACCTCAGGATCTCCTTGTGTGTAAAAATTTTTGTAAAGAAGTGGTCATGCTGAAGACTTTATTCACAATATGTGGATGTCTGAAAGGCTCACTTTTATCTTGGCAGTTTTGTGAATAAACAAAAACTTTCACTACTGGCCAGAAGAAAATTCATCCAGCTCTCCAGCAGCCATTGCACAGTAACTGGTTAGCAATGTGGTGTGCAATTTCATGTCACAGCATTATCGGCCCATGTATTTTTTAAGATGATAATGGAAGGGTAACAAGTGATGTCAGGCCCCTGTGCCAACATGATCACAACTGTTTTGACTGATGAACGAGCTACTAGGATTCCTCTAGTTACTGAGGCCGTTTCATTTCAATAAGATGACACAACGTCTCATACTGCCAGGGTGTTAGTGGAGACAGTATGACAGCATTTTTATAATATATCATCCCCAAAAATGGTGGCATTCTTTGGCCTCCAAGGACCCTGGACCTGTCAGCATGTAACTCTTTGTGGGAACAATGAAAAAGTGAAGGGTACACTCATCACACACAATATTGAAGAGCTGAAAGAGGAAGTTTGTGAAAAATTACTAGAATTCCTTTTGAAGTTCTATACCACATCACTGGAAATATGTGTAGAGAATTGGAGGAATGCCTGCACAGAGACAGAGGTCACCTGGTGGATATCACTTCAAGAAATAAACAGCCTGCTGTGTACTTCAGGGTAACATATTTGTAATTTGACAAATACAAACTTTATTTAGTTACAGAGCTTTTAAAATTGCATTTTTCCCTGTCCCTCTCTTTGTATTGACTATTTCACTGTAGGTCATGTGGAGTTGGGTCAGGCGACTTTGGTGAACAAACATTGCTTGAATTTATTCTTTCCCCCAAGAAGTCTGTGGAGCTGAGGGTTGGGTCTGTCAGTGACATATGGTTACTGAAGGTAATGTCATGTAGACTATTCTCACAAGTTATGAAAATGTTTTGTCAAAGTATAAATGCTATTATATTTAGTTATATTGGTGTATAGGTATAGGTATAGCGGTATAATTATATACCTGTACTTACGTTAATGTGTGATTTTCTTAAACAGAATTTAGTTTCTATATTTTCCACCTCCCAGTATATTTTCTTCATTTATGCAGTAGCATTTGTTTCACATTGCTAGATCAACTGGCACTAAATCCTGGACTGGCAGCAATCTGGGAGGATGAGAAACAGCGACGAAGAGAAGGAGGAAGAACATCACAAATAACCCCTCAGTCTTCTCGGGAACGACCATTTGCTGCTTCTACTGACAGTGCACTCTTCTTTAAACAGAAATTGCATGAGAAGTTACTCCTGTTGAACTCACAGGTGTGGTATGAGATATAAGTAGACTACTGTATCTTCTGATATACAGAAGCCCTGACAAGGGCAATTTCCATAATTCTTTTCTCACAATTTCATTTTCTCCCTGTTGATGGAAAAACAATATTGTGGTCCTGAAATGGCCATCTTTTCTTACAGTTCCATTTTCCTCCTGTGACAAAACAGTTGCATGGCCCTGAAAGGGGCCATTTTTCTGCCTGCCATTCTTACTGGCAAGGACCAGAATTCATTTTCACATCCCTTCCCCTTCCCGTCCCCCACATGCAGGCACCCCCCCCCCCCCATCAAGTGATTGTAATCCCTCCAACATGCCAACTTAACCCAACTGATTCCTCACAATGCATGCTTCTATTCTAAAAGATGGAATCAGTGTGTTCCTCCAAAACATTAATATCCACCTGCAACACTACACTCTATCATATTCCAGTTGTCCACAATCTGCACAGTGGGCACTGCAAAATCTTCTGAACTGGTATGTTGTCATTTTGTATACATGCTCATATTAGATAAGATTATTAGCTAATAAAGGATGTTAAGGTGTAGACCTGATTCAGGAGGAAATTAAGAGCAGATTGAATTCAGGTAATGCTTGCTACCATTCAGTCCAGAATCTTTTGTCTTCTCATCTTCGGTCAAACAACATAAAAATTAGAATATACAAAACTATAATTTTGCCTGTGTGAAACTTGGTCTCTGACATCAAGGGAGGAACATAGACTGAGGGTGTTTGAGAACAGGGTATTGAGGAGAATATTTGGATCAAAAGGGATGAAATGATGGGAGTTTGGAGAAAACCACATGAGGAGCTTCATAACTTGTACTCTTCGCCAAATATAATTAGACTGATGAAGTGAAGGAGGATAAGGTGGACAGGGCATTCAGCATGAATGGTGGAGAATAGGAATGCATGTAGAATATTGGTGGGCTATTGGTACGAGACAGTGGAATGCAATGTTATGACATTCACATTAAATTGTGATGGATGCCAGAATGTGATATATCTAAATCTTGATGAATAACTATAAATAACATTCCATATAATGTAATTAATCATATTGTGAAATGTGAGCTCAAAATCAGGATTGTGGAGCCTGTGGAGATGTGTAGGTCGCAAAGTTGCGAGTCATCTCATGCAATTATGGTAAAATTAATCTGAGTCTGACTCCCAAGTCAAGCTCGCTGAGCCAGACTCATGTGTATGGGCCCTTAGGACAACAAGATAGGATCCATACCTTCTGTAATTCCCTCATCTGTGATGGATGTAATCACATGTTTGTCACAGGGTCACAGTCTGAGGTCACGAAATGTATTTCACTTATATATACTCACAATAAAGTAAGGAACAAATTAGTTTGATTCAGTTTAGTAGAGGCATAAGCTGTATTTTCTGTTTGTGCTTCAGTATTGTAAACAGTGTTGAAACTATTCCATGCCACCTTCCTCTTTTGCTTATTGACAAGCTCCTAACTTCACACAGATGTATCATTTCAAGTTTCACATTCAAGTCTAAGGTCTTCCATTCCATTGCCATATTTATGGTTTTCTAAACATTTTGCAGTCGGTCCCAGTTGAAACATAGTAAGTGTTTCATGTGACAGAATGTTAAATATGCACCTGCATGGTTGTATTATGTGACATCATTCTATGTAGCCCAGAGGAAACTGAGGCAAAGGTGAAAGCTATGTGACAAGGAAGGGACGATACTGGACAATGCAGTGGACAGCACATGATAAACGTTTGTCGGTGGTTAAAATTGGAGGGTGCTGCTCACAGTTAAATTCTAGAATGGAGACTTTCTGCTGCACAAGTATGGGTTAATGGGACCATTATGACCTTCTAGCCATAATTGACATTAGAAGTGAGACTGAAAATATAGTTTATGCAAAAAGACAACAGAAAAACGTTGGCAGCCACAAATGTGCCAGAAAAGAACCCTCATTTTATGTGATTATATTCCACATGTATAACATTAAGAAACTGTTCCAGTGGGTTTTGTCAGGTGATGAAGCCTTCATTATAAGCAATGCTCATCCTCCTCTCACTTACTGTTTAATTTTCTCTCATAGCTTTCTAATAATTCTTCGACTTTGCTGGATACTCCAGAGGTTACAAAAACGCCATATCCTGCTGAAACGTCAGAGGACTCGGAACTGCTTGAAGCATCATTTGTAGACTTACATATTCAGTCATCTGGATCTAGTCCTTTTATTAGAAGTGGACAGATGGAACAAGATGATAATGCCTCATTTGTTGATGAAGATTTGGTATTGAGTTTACTATCAAGTCAGAGACGAGCAACTCACAATTCTGTTTGGAGTAAGTACTGTTACATTCAAGTGCTCTTCATTTAATATGTGTTTTGGAGCTGTTACCTGTTCATTTTTCACTATACTTTAAGTCCCACTGATGGTAACTTCGCTGAACATTTGGTGACATGTCGAGAAGATCCACCGTCATCTTAAATTATTCCGGAGATATGGACTACCTCTACTGATTAAGCCCAACTGAGTAGGCTTTTACCTTAGGATAAAGACAGAGTGCAGTCACCAGAACATGTTTTAAATAAGAAATGGAATGATGGATAATGTTCCAAAACTCAGTAATTGTATTAATATACCATTGTCACAAGTGTTTATACCTTGCTTAAATTATTCAGTTGAACTCTGTGCATATTTTATGTAAATTATGTCATTTACATTCATTCAGATACCTTTCTCATTTTTATTCTGTGATTTGGATGTAATGATGTGACCACCATTTTGAATACTGACAATCTTTACCTTGGTATAATCCTATTCTGTCGCTGCCACCATTGATTGTATGGCCACGTGTAAGTACAACTTACCTCTGGTAATGTGTCTGACTGGGTAGCTGGTGGAATCTGGAATAAGGTTCGAGAGTCACACAACACACTTTCACTGATCTGTGTTTATGTAGTTAACATAACATCTGAGTTATCTGCTCCTTCCATTATTGTTCAGCCTCAGATACTCTTACTGTGTACTTCCCGTTTGTCTGGCCTTTACAGTAATATCTGTTCCTCTTTATTACTAACTGCTTGCCTCACATAATTCAAACTTGTACAGCGTGGTTCAGAAAGATGGACACAATTTAATTTGGCTATATTTCCTGAACTATATGTTGCATTTGAATTCTGTAAAGTACATTTGAAAGAGGATGTTGTAAAGTTTCTAATACTACCGCCAGAGCACTCCAGCACCATGTCAGTTGTAAGCGAGATGGCTACTATGCAACACAAGATTTTTTGTATTTGTGAGTTCAGTGAAAGAGTCTGCGTCTGCAGTGCAGCGTGCATTTCATCGTAAGTTTAACATCCACCCGCCAACGAGGAAGAGCATTTATTGTTGGAATAAACAATTTAATGAAACTGGCTCTCTGTGTAAGGGTAAAAGCCCGGGCCGATCGCGTGTATCGGAGGAGAATGTGGAGCGCATTTGAGTGAGCTTTGAGCATAGCCCAATGAAGTCAACCTGTAGTGCTAGTAGAGAACTTGGACTATCGCAAACAACTCTCTGGCGTGTATTGAGGCACCGGTTAGTGTACAAACCATACCACCTACAACTGGTACAGGCTCTTCGCGCAAACAATAAGGTAAAGCGTGTAGAATTTTGTGACCATATGCTCAAAAACATGGAAGATGAATTGTTTCTGCCTCGTGTAATTTTTAGTGATGAAGCTACGTTTCACCTAAGCGGGAAAGTCGACAGGCACGATGTTCGCATATGAGGGCTATAGAATCCCCGTCTGACATTTGAACATGTGAGGGACAGCCTGAAAGTTAATATGTTCTGTGCAATATCATTAACAAAGGTTTATGGACCTTTCTTTTTTTGATGAAAACACGGTTACTGGAGTAACATATCTTAGAATGCTGCAAAACTTGCTTGTTCCTCAAATGAATGAAGATTCAGGAGATTACATTTTCCAGCAGGACGGAGCTCCACCCCATTGGCACCTGAATGTTCAACGTTGCCTGAATGAATCTCTACCTCAATGATGGATAGGTCGCATGGGGAATGAAGACCTGGCACTTCAGTTCTGGCCACCGATCTCCTGATCTCACACCCTGCGACTTTTTTCTGTGGGGATTCGTGAAAGATGCAGTTTACATACCACCTCTTCCCACAAATTTGAATGGACTAAGAAACCGTACACAGCTGCGGTGAACTCAGTGACGCAAGATATTTGTCATCACGTGTGGGATAAATTCAGCTACCATCTAGATGTTATCCGTGCAGCTGGAGGGGGCACATTGAACATGTATAAACTTCCATGTATGTGTAATCAATTGTAATTTACAGAATTCAAATGCAACATATAATTAAGGAAATATAGCTAATTGAAATTGTTACCATTTTTCTGAATCACCCTGTATTCAAAAAGGTAAGGTAAAGTTATCCATGTTCTTAATTAAGTACCATGCTGTGAAGGCTTATGGAATAGTGAAGGTATAGGTAACCATTCTTAGCCTTGGCATTAAATGGAGATGAATGGTCAGCTTTACTCATCTGCCATGCAACCCATGGGAAACATCCCCAGTTCTCATTGTATAGGAAGCTCGGTGGGCCCCAGAGCCAGTCGGGATGCTACAGAGAAGAGAAAAATCTTCTTTCCCTTCCATGAATTGAATCCAAAATAACCATGCCATAACCTAGTTGCTCTGCTATAAGAGCTATTGCAGCTTCTGAAACACATATTAAACTGACCAGTGCCACCCAGGGGATGTAGATTGCCACACTGTAGTGGCTCTGCATTCAGATTGCCAGTCAGTCCTCTTCATCTCTTGAAGTCTCCTCTGCTTCTGGTATAGCCTCCACAGCATGTCACTTCATCAGCACTCTGTTAATCAAGTTATGGAACAAAACCGAAGGAACAGTTCCCCTAATTTTCTTAGGTCATACCATCAGTCTGTCAATTTTCAGTACAATAAAATCAGTATGGTGATGACTGAAATTATGGTAACAGTGCTGTGACAGACTAAAACACATGCTGGTTACAAGTAGTATCATTTCTGCCTGTTGGTGGATCTGGCACCTGTAGTCTGTCATCAGCTGTCACCATTTAATGCTTTCTATGACATGGCCGTCACACATGCTCGCTGCAGTGTAAGTTAGTTGGAACAAATTTCATGTTGGTTATTTTTTATAACCTTCCACCAATTTCATCAGTATGAGAAGGTTTTGTTTACCTCCCTTCCACCTTTCTGTCTTCCTTCCCAGTAGACTGCGTAGCCCTCTTGGAAGCCCAACCCCCTGATGCACTGGATCATGTTCACAGCTGGGGAATAACTCTTTGCAGCACTTTATCAGTCTTATGACCTCAGTCTTAGTGGGGTTGACCATGGTAGTCTTCCCCTATCACCATGACCCCAGATCCTGAGGATCACCAAGGCCCCCCTCCACCCATGTGCCCTGCTTCAGGATCTCTGAAACCTTAATGTTTTCCTGTGTGATTGATGTAAAATCATACAGCTTGTGTCTTCAGTGGTGTTTACAGAGTTCTGGTCTATAAGAAGGATAGGCTACTGGCCTTCATCTCCCGATGCTTATAGAGCACACTCCAGTTCTCAATATAAAGCTCTGCACTGAGATCCTTAATTCATCTAATCTAAAGTCTGGACAACCTTGTCTTTCATTCTCAGAGTCACCTTGACAGGCTTGGGAAGGTTCCTGGAAACCTTCTGTTTCAGCCATGTGCTTGAATCTCACTCACTCATGGAACTGAACCCTTCTTGAGAAGCTACCAATTGTGCAGCCACCCAAGAAAGAATTTTCCAGCATTTTATGGACCCCAAAGGTTCATAACCATGTTAACAAGAACCTTTCACCAGTCCCTATCCTGACCCAGATCAGTCCAATCCATACCATCTCATTCTCTCACTCTAAGATCCATTTTAATATTGTCCGGCCACCTACATCTTGGTCTTCCTAGTGGTCTCAGTCCTTCTGGCTGTCGCACCAATATCCTATATGCATTCCTCTTCACCCCATTCGTACTGCATGTCCTGCACATCTCATCCTCCTTGACTTGATCGTTCTAATTATACTTGGCAAAGGTTAGAAGTTATGATACTCCTCTTTATGCAGTTTTCTCTGACCTCCCATCACTTCATCTGTTTTTGGCCCAAGTATTCTCGACACCCTGTTCCAAAACACCTTCAGTTTATGTTCCTCCCTTAATGACAGAGCTGGGGTCACACCCATGCAGAACCACAGACAAAATTATAGTTTTGTATATTTTAATTTTTATGTCTTTAAACAGCAGACGAGAATACAAAGATTCTACCCTGAAAGGTAGCAAGCATTTCCTGAGTTCAGTCTCCTCTTAATTTCCTCCTGAATCAGGTTTTGATTTGTTATAGACATTTCCAAATATCTGAACTGTGCCACATTTTCAAAACCTCTGTTACCTATCTTCATGTCATGAGTTTGGCCTGCATTTTGGTTATGAGACTTCTAGAACAATCTCCTTAGTAGTGTTATTTAAAGTTGATGAGTTTTTCTATATGGTATTTATGTTATCACCCAGAAGATTCACATCATCAGCATAGACCAGAAGCGGATGTGTCCCATTTATTTTCAGTTCAATCTGGTTTTCCTGGACCTTGCTAGTGGCATATTCTAAAGCAGAGTTGAAAAACAGTGGTGATAAATCATTTTGTTTTAGACCATTCTGGATAGAAAAATTGTCAGACAAATGTCTACCTATGTAGACTTTACTATACATTTTGTTTAAACACAGTTTTAATCAGCCTAACTTGTTTCATGGGTACCCAAAGCTATGAGAATACTGTACATTACTTCCATCCTAACTGAATCATAGGCTCCCTTGAAGTTATGAATCGCTGATATACTGTCTCATCATACTCCCATTTCTTCTTTAACAGTTTCTGATGAATGCAAGAGATCTGATCAGTAGTTCATCTGTTACTGTAGCCCGTGTTTGTGAGTGGCTTGGTGAGACTATTGGTCTACCCATGTCAGTATGCCTCACCCCAGCCCGAAGTATGATGACCATTCCATATATAATGCCTCCTATTTTTATAATGAAAACTACAACAGATACAGAAAGCATAATATCACAGTTAAATAGAGCAAGATTTCAGCTAGTTACAGTTATTTTTCCACATAATCACCACCATTCTTTATGCACTTTTGCCAGCGATGAGCAAGAGCCTGTATGCTGTGCCCGTAAAAGTCTGCACCAGCAGAGGCTGGCCACGTTCTTACAGCTGCAATGACAGCATCATTGTCTGGAAAATGTTGCCCACGTGCTCCATCTTTTATAGGCCCAAA